ACTATGCCCAACATTTAAAATAAAGAAATTTGTTTGTAAAAGCTTTGGCGTCGGGACAGCAAACGAAACAATAGACGCCTCTTATGAGACCAGCAAACGGGGCCTAATAGAATGTAAAAAGAAGTAAGTAACATAAAAATGCTGTGGAACAAAAAGACAAAACTGTAATTTCCTACCATTATTTTTCATCAGATATGCGAAAAGGTTTAGCGAAACTAGTGTCTAAAAACTCACTTCGAACAAGTTTTCACTTAATTTTCGGAACATTGGGTTCCCCATCTCCTATTTGTTATGGCGACATCAAGCAAAAGTAGCGCGTTACTACACTGGCCCTCCTAAAGGTTATTCATTATATGTTGATGATTAATTTTTTACACGGAGTCGTCAATCACTTAAGGGGCAAAGTGGCCTGTGAAAGAATTCATAAACCGGAAGGTGGTCAGTATATCGTAGGTATTAAGTATTATCTCTGAGCTTCAATCGCGTACTCGTTTCATTTTCGCCAGACAGGGTGTGCGATAGCATGTTTATATATGTGCATGCTTTTCGTCCGCATGTGCGTAAACCATCGGTGCTCTGCAGCAACTCTCTTGTGAGAAAGTACGTGTATTCGTCGTGATCCTGTGGAGATTTTCAAGTAGGGCGCCCCCGACTTATAAATCACCTCAATGCCCTTCGGGGGGAAAGTGGCACCAAGGATAAATCCCCCAGGCTACCAAAGACGCCAAACTCATCAACGTTTACCAGAAAGAGGGTAACCGCCAATGTTTTGTCAATCACAGTCGAATCTCGCTGCTCAAAATCACCGGAAAAATCCTCGTCCGCCGGCTTTTCAGTCCGCTGATGAAATTTTCTGGAAAAAGGATTCTTGCCAGAAAGTCTATGTGGTTTGCGCCATCATCGCTGCGCAACCGACGTGACCTACGCCGCGCGTCAGCTGTAGAAGAAAGTCCAGGAAACACAAACTCACCTGTATGACGAATTTTTCCAACCCGCCTCTAAAACTAATCCGCGGGGACG